CTTGAGCTGGGAAGAGAACCCAGGAGTCCTGGCATCCAGCCCCCCCGCAACCACTCATTTTCCCCAACACAGTCGACCTGTGGAACTCCTTGTCAGAGGATGCTGTGTTAGGCCCACCGATGGCTATTAGCCAGGCTGGGCAGGGATGGTGGCCCTGGTCTCTGTTCGCCAGGAGCTGGGGATGGGCGCCAGGGGATGAATCACTCCATGAGCCCCTGGTCTGCTCATTCCCTCTGGGGCGCCTGGCCCCTGCCGGCAGAAGGACACTGGGCTAGAGGGACCTTTGGTCCGACCCAGTCTGGCCGTTCTGATGTTCTAATGTTCCATTAGACCCCACTGTCCTCCCCAAGAACCCAGGAGTCCTGGCTCCCAGCCCCCCTGCTCTACCCACTAGACCCCAATCCTCTCCCAGAGTTGGGGAGAGACCCCAGGAGTCCTGGCTCCCAGCTCCGCCCCCCCCACTCTAACCTTTAGACCCCCCTCTCGGAGCCAGGATAGACCCCAGAAGGGGAGCCCTGGTGGGGGGTTATGATTTGGGGTCAGGGGGAAAATCTCATTTCCTGCTCCCCAGGCTCCTCCCCCCCCCAGTCTCTTGCTGTGATCCCACCCTTTCGCCAGCCTCCAGCAGCCCCCGGGGGGGGGGGTATTGCCTGTATGCTGCCCCATCCCACAGTCGAGGAAATCGGGCTCTGTTGAGCCAAGTTTCATGTCAGCTCACCTGGTGGGGGATGGGGAGCAGGGGGAATTGTTTGTGTGGGGGGGCACTAGGAACTTTGGTGGGGGGAGACGTGGGGCAGGGAGCACTGGGAAGGGTCTGTGGTTTCAGGGGAGCCTTGGTGCCCGTCCTAACCCTGGGGGGGGCAGCACCCCCACCTGTCACACAAGTGTGCAAAGGGGGGTTAATTCACATGTGAGGTGCATGGGGGAAGTTCCTTCTGAACAACACCCCGAACCTCGGCCTATCCCCTAGCACCTGAATCCCTGATATGGGGAGAGGGGGAGGCTGTTAACTGAGCCCCCCCAGTTCTGCCCCCCCACATCAGGGCCAGAGGAGCAAGGGGTTTCTAGCAGGGAATTTCCTACCTCGGCGGAGGGGGGCAGGGGAATTCCAGCTCAAGGCACTGGGGGGGGGAGCCTGTACAAAACCCCTCCCCCACCAGGGCATCCCCCACTTGGGAATCCTGGCAGGGCCCCCCAGCCCTGCCGGTGCCCCTCACTCCAGACCCGCAGGCCCCCCCACCAGCCCTGCCGGTGCCCCTCACAACCGACCCGCAGCCCCTGCCCCCCCCAGCCCTGGGCTCTCCCCAGCATCCCAGACACGTGCCAGCCGGATCCCTTTGGGGGCTGGGGCTGGGGGGGGGGGGCGGCGGTGAGTCAGCCCGGGAGACGTGAGAGTTCGCATCCGCGGCCCCCTGGTGTGTGGGGCCCGGCACGTACTTCAGTGCCCCACTGCAGGGGGGACAGCGGGGGGGTAGGAGAGGGGGCAGGGTGACCCCTCCTGCCCGATAATCGGGTGGGGGGGAACCAGCCTTTACCCCCCCACCTCGGCTGAGACCCTTGGGGCGGGGGGCGGGTTATAAAGTCCCAGCCCTTCCCCCGCCCGGTATCTCCCTCCCACACACTCCGAGACAGCTGTAAGAAGCCCCCCCCCCGTCACTCCCCCACCCCGCCCCCCGACAGCCGGGATATAAGGGGACCAGCCGGGCTGCGACTCCATCCTCACCAGCCACCCGGACAGACAGACAGACATCGGCACCGCGCCCAGCCCCCCCGCACCCTGACAGCAGGGGTAGGTACCGCACCTGCCCCCGGGATGGGGGCTTTAGTTAGCCCGGACTCCTGGGTTCTCTCCCCAGCTCTGGGAGGGGAGTGGGGTCTAGTGGTTGGAGCAGGGATGGGGGTGGGGTAGGGTGCCCGGACTCCTGGGTTCTCTCCCCAGCTCTGGAAGGGGAGTGGGGTCTAGTGGTTGGAGCAGGGACGGGGTGCCCGGACTCCTGGGTTCTCTCCTCTGCTGACTGGCTGGCTCTCTTCTAGGCTCTCAGACATGGTGCCCCTCGAACTGGTCTCGCTGCTCATGGTGACTTTGGCAGCCCAGTGTGAGTCGCAACAGATGGGGGAGCCCCCGGCCAGGTGGGTCTATGGCCAGGTGAGGGCTGGGGCGGGGCAGGGTGAGACACCAGCCAGGAGGGGCTTTCCATTGGGGTGGGGGGAACACAGCTGGGGGGGGGATGCTGAGTGGAGGGGGTTGTGGGGGGGGAGTGGGTGAAGGGTTGGGGGGCTCCCCCCACATTGGGACTGTTTTCACAATCCCCCATTCTCTGTTGTAGATGGTACCCCCCGCCTGTGATTTCCTTCCTGAAGCAGTTGTGGGGGGCCCAGAGGGGGCCGCCCCCCCTGGCAGCGCCCGCCCCTCAGGAGCCCAGGCCAGCAGCTGGAGCCAGGCCTCCATGGTACGTCCAGCCGGAGGGCGCGGGAGAGGCGCTTGGCCTGCCCAGGAGGTAAGTTCCGGGTAGTTTAGGGGCAGGGATGGGGTGTCATGGGGCACCGGCACCCCCATGGGCCAGAACCCCTCCTCCACTCCCAAGGGGCGGGGGGAGGAACGGGGGGCAGATGTTCCCTCATCAGAGCTGGGAGAGAACCCAGGAGCCCTGGCTCCCAGCCCCCCTGCTCTAACCCACTGGACCCCGCTCCCCTCCCAGAGCCGGGGATGGAACCCAGGAGTCCTGACTCTCTTTCTCCCCCAGCCCCCAGCGCCGGATCCCCCGCCAGCTCTCTCCGCAGACGACCGGGCGTGGATGCCAGCTGGGCACGTGTCAGACCCACCACCTCTTCAACTGGCTGTACCACATCGGGGCCAGCGACCACAAAGATGACTCCCGGAAGGACATGGCCGACCCCATGGGCTACGGGCGCCGACGGCGCTGGGCGGGGAGCCCTGGCCGGCACCGGGGGCCTGCCCCCCGCCACCACAGCACCCGCTGAGAGCAGGGCTGGGCACAGCTGGGGTACATGGAGCCCCACCCCACAGAGACACAGCCGGAGCCGGGGCAGCCCAGCACCTGTGCCCGGAGAGACCCGGAACTGGCAGAGAATGGGGGACGGCGTAGCTGGGGGGGTGGCACCCAGACCCCTGCCCTGGAGCGACAGGGGCACCTACCAGCTCCATGCTGCCCCCTGCAGGCAGCACCTGTTGCTGCAGTGCGCCCCCCCCCCCCGCCGCCATGCCAAAGGGGCAGCCGGCCCCCCCCGGAACTGGGGAGTGGACCAAGGATTGTGCTGGGGGTGTGTGCGAAGAGATGCCTCCCCCCAGCAGCGCTTGCCCGTCTAGAGCGGGCAGCCCTGGAAGACAAGGAGACCCCCAAGTGGCACTGTGGGGGAGACAGACTGTGGGGCGGGCCGGGGGCTACTCCTGGCCCCCTGCATAATGGACAATGGGGCCTATGGCCTGAAGCGCAAATAAAGAGGTTTATTTGAACAGCCAGAGATGCCTCCTCCAGTCTTGGGGGGGGGGGAGGAGGACCCCAGGGGGTCAGCCAATGGGGGAATTGGCCTTGGGGTTGTGACAAGCGCTGCGCTCTCAGAGCCAGGAGAGAACCCAGGAGTCCTGGTTCCCAGCCCCCCCTGCTCTACCCAGTACACCCCGCTCCCCTCCCAGAGGTGCCTATCAGAGGCTAGTAGCGTCATTGACAGACACCCCCACACACACCCCGTACCATTGTCCCCGTCCTGCCTTCGGGCCCCTGGTGACACCCAGGGCTAGCATGAGGCATCCCCCTCTGGGACCCCCCGGGGCTGTGCCCCCTTTCCCCAGCCCCCCACCATTCCCCCTGTGATGCCTGCCCCCCTCCCCCACTATTACCCCTTCCCCCAGGCCCCCCATTCCCCCTGTGTCGCCTGCCCCCTCACCCCAGCCCCACCCCCTCGCCCCAGCCCTCCCCCCAGCCCCACCAGAACCCCTCCCCCACTATTACCCCTTCCGCCAGGCCCCCACCATTCCCCCTGTGACGCCTACCCCCCTTCCCCCAGCCCTCCCTATGGCCCCACCCCTCCCCCCACTATTACCCCTCTCGCCCCACCCCTCCCCCCACCTCCTCTCGCCCCTCCCCCAGCCTGCCCCCCCCCTTCCATCCCTCGGTCCCTCCCTCCCGGCTCTGACGCTCCGCGCAGCCTCCAGACGCGTGTCCCCCCCCAGCCCCCCCGCCCCACTTTCCCGGGCGGCCCCGGCGCCGCCGCGAGCAGCTGGGCGAGGGGCACTGGGCGGGGGAGGGGCGAGGGAGGCTAGGAAGGGGGGGATGGGCTAGCAGGTGGGGGAGGGACGCGAAGGGAGGGGGGCTGCCCCCAGGAACGAGCGGGGGGTAGCAGGGAGGGTCCCGTTCGCAGCCTGGGGGAGGCTTGGGGGCCGGGGTCTCAGGACGCCGCCAACCGCTTGCAGCAGATACCCCCGCTTGGATCCTGCGGGCAGAAGGTGAGTGAGGGGGAGGGGGCTGGGAGCCGGACGCCTGGGTTCCATCCCCAGCCCTGGGAGGGGGTGGAGTCTAGCGGTTAGGGCAGGGAGGGGCTGGGACTCCTGGGTTCTCTCTCTGGCTGGAGGGAGGGAGTAGGACCTAGTGGGTAGACCAGGGGTGTATATTTGGGAGTCAGGACTCCGGGCTTCTCTCTCCGGCTCTGGGGAGCTGATGGGCGGTTTGTTTCCCCAGCCCATCGATATCCTTTGAATTGAGATTCCAGCCCCTAGGGGGGCCTGTCTCTCAGGGGCTGATGGGATGCGGGGGGCAGTGCTGGGACCCCCAGGGTGAGGGGGGAGGCTGCCTGGGGGCTATTTACACCACTGACAGCCCTGTCTGTGATCGATGGGTGCTCCTTGCGGGGGTGGGGGCCCTGTAGGGTGGGTGTAGTGTGGGAGGGGGCCGGGAGTCAGGACTCCTGGGTTCCTTGGGCGCAGCAAAGGGTCTAGTGGGTTGGAGTCCTGCCCCCCCCCTTCTCCCAGAGCTGGGGATAGAACCCAGGAGTCCTGGTTCCTAGCCCCCCTCTGCTCTAACCACTAGACCCCACTTCCCCCTTGAGTGTCTGGACCCAGAGTCAGCCCGGTGTGTTATCTGCGTCCGGGTCCCTTCCTGTGGGGGTGGGGAAGGTCGCAGCCCCCAGAGCGTCTCCTGTGCCAGGGAGTAAAGGTCGCTGGCTGGGGAGGGTGTTTGCCAGGCACAGGCCAGGCTCAGCCAGGCAGCTGGCCTCCGGACTCCTGGGTTCTATTCCACCTCTTCCGTCCCTCCCAGCGTCAGTTTCCCCACAGGTACAGGGAGCCTGCCTTGATCTGCTTAAACTGGGATGCCTGTGGGGCAGGGACTGTGTGCTGCGCGCTGTGGGGCAGGGCAGCGTCCAGCCGGGGGACCCTGAGCTGGGTCAGGGGCTGTGCGGAGCTTGGCACGATTTGGGGGGGGCTGATCTGGGTTGGGGATGGGGCAGAGGGGGCCTGGGCCGGGAGCCAGGACTCCTGGGTTCTCTCCCAGGCTCTGGGAGGGGCGTGGGGGCTAGTGGTAAGAACAGGGGGCCAGGACTCCTGGGTTCCATCCCTGGCTCTGGGAGGGGCGTGGGGGCTAGTGGTTAGAGCAGGGGGCGGTGGGGAGACGGGATCTCTTCCTTCCTCCCCCTCCCTGGGGGTCTGAGATGTCTCCAGCTCCCCCCCCACCCCACATGCTGGAGTGCTGGATTGTGACCTCAGCAGCGCATCAGGGGTGAGGTCATCGCGGAGCCGGGGCAGGCCTGGCTGGTGCTGGCAGGTCTGGGCCTCTTGGCAGTGCCCAGGTACGGCAGGTACCCACGATACCCCCCCGGCTGTGCCCCTGGGTAGGGGAAGGGGCCCCTCTCTCCCCCACCCCAACCTGTTGGAGTCACTGTCCCAGGCCAGGAGCTCTCCCCATGGTGCTGGGGCCAAAGGGCTAACGGGGGATACTTGGGGGGCAGAGGGCGTTCAGTCCTGGGGCTGGCACTGGGTCCCCGGCCAGAGGGAGGTTGGCCTATTGCGTGGGTGGGACGGTTTGAGAAGAGCCGTGAGGCCGAGGAAAGGGGCAGAAAACCTGCCCCAGAGCGAGTGCTGCCAGGAGCCCCAGCTCAGCCGCTCCCCATGGGGCAGTGGGGGGGGCCTGAGCCCGGCAGTAGGTCCCGACGTGGGGGACACACAGACAAATCTGCACCATGGGGGGCTGGCAGCCCGGTTGGGCTGGAGCCAGCCTGTAAATAAGGGGCTGGTTTTGCACAGGAGGGGAATGACCCCAGGGACAAGTCCCCGGGGGAGGGGGGAGTAGTGGGTGTGGGGGCTGGGAATTCAGAGGCCCCTCTTGGGGGGGCACGGGGGCTGGATGTTCACGGGCCCCTTTGGGGCGGGTGCTGGGGCTCGGTATCCGGGGACCCCTCTGGGGTGAGGCGTGGGGGCTGGGAATCTGGGGTTCTCCCCAGAGCCTGAGGGGGGTTGGTCTCCTGACTCCCAGCCCCCCATATCCCTGGACCCCCCCCTTTAGCACTGGGGTGGGACCCAGGCGTCCTGGCTCCTGGCTGTGTTTCAGTGGGGGGGACAGACGCAGCATGTCAATGCCCCCCCCGGCCCGTCTCTCTCTGCCCCAGCACCTGCTAGCGCCCCCCAGCGATGGCGGAGGCTCACCAGGCCGTGGCGTTCCAGTTCACGGTCTCGCCCGAGGGGGTCGACCTGCGGCTCAGCCATGTGGCCCTGAAGCAGGTCTACCTGGCCGGCCTGCGCTCCTGGAAGAAGAAAATCACCCGGCTACGGGTATGGGGGGGACCCCCTGGGGCTGGGGAGGAGCTGTGGGATCTGACTGTGTGCAGGGGTGGGGGGGAGCTGAGGGGTCAGACTGAGGAGCAAGGGGCTGGGAGGTATCCAAGGGGTGAGACTGCGGCAGGGATTGCGGGCTGGGGGGGGGGTGAGGAGTCAGGCTGGGGGGCAGGGATCTGGGGGGGGGGGGGGCGGGGGGGTCCGGGGCAGGGACTGGGGGGGAGGAGCCGTGGGGTCAGACCGAGGAGCAGGGATCTGGGGGCTGGGTGGTGGGAGCTGTGAGGTCCGACTGAGGATCACGGATCTGGGTGTTAGAGGAGGAGCTGTGGGGTCAGATCGAGGAGCAGGGATCTGGGGTTTGGGTGGAGCCGTGGGGTCAGACCAAGGAGCGGGATCTGGGGGCTGGGGGGAGCCGTGGGGTCCGACTGAGCAGCAGGGATCTGGGGGCTAGAGGAGGAGCCGTGGGGTCAGACCGAGGAGCAGGGATCTGGGGGCTGGGGGGGGAGCCATGGGGTCAGACTGAGGAGCAGGGATCTGGGGGCTGGGGGGAGCCGTGGGGTCCGACTGAGGAGCAAGGATCTGGGGGCTAGAGGAGGAGCCATGGGGTCAGACTGAGGAGCAGGGATCTGGGGGCTGGGTGGGGGGAGCCATTGGGTGAGACTGAGGAGCAGGGATCTGGGGGCTGGGTGGGGGGAGCCGTGGGGTCCGACTGAGGAGCAGGGATCTGGGGGCTAGAGGAGGAGCCGTGGGGTCAGACTGAGGAGCAGGGATCTGGGGTTTGGGGGAGCTGGGGGGTCAGACTGAGGAGCAGGGATCTGGGGGGGGGAGCTGGGGGTCAGATCGAGCAGCAGGGATCTGGGGGGGGGGGGGGGGGGGGGGGGGGGGGCAGGGCTGGGGGTGGGGGAGCCGTGGGGTCCGACTGAGGAGCAGGGATCTGGGGGCTGGGGGGGGAGCCAGGGGAGCTGAGGAGAGGGTCGGGGGTGGGAGAAGCGTGGGGTCAGACGAGGAGCAGGGATCTGGGGGGGGGGGGTGGGGGGAGATCGAGGAGCAGGGATCTGGGGCTGGGTGGGTGGAGCCGTCGGGTCCGACTGAGGAGCAGGGATCTGGGGGCTGGGGGGAGTGGGGGTCAGACGAGGAGCAGGGATCTGGGGGAGCTGGGGGGTCAGACTGAGGAGCAGGGATCTGGGGGCTGGGGGGGAGCTGGGGGGTCAGACCGAGGAGCAGGGATCTGGGGGGAGCTGGGGGGTCAGATCGAGGAGCAGGGATCTGGGGGCTGGGTGGGTGGAGCCGTCGGGTCCGACTGAGGAGCGGGGATCTGGGGGCTGGGGGGGAGCTGGGGGTCAGACCGAGGAGCAGGGATCTGGGGGCTGGGGGGTCGGAGCTGGGTTCCGGCCTGGCCCCATGCAGCCCCCACACCCCGCTGACCCCCATCTCCCCCCACAGAACAGCCTGCTGACGGGCGTTTTCCCCGCCAGCCCAGCCAGCTGGCTAGTCATGGCCACGGCCATCCTGGCCAGCCAGGCCTCCCGCCTCGACCCCTCCATGGGGCTCATCGGCAAGATCAAGGAGCACCTTCCCGCCAGGTTGGGGGACAGTGGGGCTGGGCTGGGGGCCATGGGGGGCCGGGCCAGGAAGGTGTATGGGGCTGAGGGAAGGGGGCTGGGATGGGGGGCACAGGCATGGGTGTGTGCATGGGGGGGGTCAGTGTAGGGGGCACAGGGCCAGGGAAACATAGCGGTGGAGGGGGCAGGGCTGGGAGTTCAGGGGGCATTGGGGAGGTCATGAGGTGCGGGACCAGGGAGGTGTGTGGGGCTGGGGGAGGGGGCCAGGGTTCGGGGTTTGGGCGGCATGGGGGTGGGCATGGGGGGCAGGGTTGGAGATGTGGGGGGAAGGGGCCAGGGCTGGGAGGCGCATGGGTGACAGAGTCAGGGAGGTGTGTGGGGCTGGGAGAAGGAGGCTGGGCTGGGGCACGGGGGAGGGCATGGGAGGGGCAGTGGCAGGGCCAGGGAGGTGTGTGGGGCTGGGGGGAGGGGGGCAGGGCTTGGGGCTCAGGGGGCACTGGAGAGGGCATGGGGGGGCAGGGCCAGGGAGGTGTGTGGGGTTGGGGGGAGGGTTCCGGGTTTGGGGGGCACGGGGGACTGGGCCAGGAAGGTGTGTGGGGCTGGGAGAAGGAAGCTGGGCTGGGGGCACGGGGGAGGGCATGGGGGGGCAGCAGCAGGGCCAGGGAGGTGTGTGGGGCTGGGGGAGGGGGGCAGAGCTTGGGGCTCGGGGGGCACTGGGGAGGGCATGGGGGGGCAGGGGCAGGGCAAGGGAGGTGTGTGGGGTTGGGGGGAGGGGTCCAGGTTTGGGGGGCACGGGGGAGGGCATGGGGGATGGGGCCAGGAAGGTGTGTGGGGCTGGGAGAAGTAAGCTGGGCTGAGGGCATGGGGGGGGGGCAGCGGCAGGGCCAGGAAGGTGTGTGGGGCTGGGAGAAGGAGGCAGGGCTGGGCGTGCAGGGGGCACGGGGGAGGGCCTGGGGGGAAGGGCCAGGGAGGTGTGTGGGGCTGGGAGAAGGAGGCAGGGCTGGGGGGCACTGGGGAGGGCATGGGGGGAACAGGGCCAGGGAGGTGTGGGGCTGGGAGAAGGAGGCAGAGCTGGGCGTGCAGGGGGCACGGGGGAGGGCCTGGGGGGCAGGGCCAGGGAGGTGTGTGGGGCTGGGAAAGGAGGCAGGGCTCGGGGGGCACTGGGGAGGGCATGGGGGGAACAGGGCCAGGGTGGTGTGTGGGGCTGGGAGAAGGAGGCAGGGCTGGGCGTGCAGGGGGCACGGGGGAGGGCCTGGGGGGGCAGGGCCAGGGAGGTATGTGGGGCTGGAGGCTCGGGGGGCACTGGGGAGGGCATGGGGGGAACAGGGCCAGGGTGGTGTGTGGGGCTGGGAGAAGGAGGCAGAGCTGGGCGTGCAGGGGGCACGGGGGAGGGCCTGGGGGGGCAGGGCCAGGGAGGTGTGTGGGGCTGGGAGAAGGAGGCAGGGCTCGGGGGGCACTGGGGAGGGCATGGGGGGGCAGGGCCAGGGTGGTGTGTGGGGCTGGGGGCTCGGGGGGCACTGGGCGGCCCCAGGAGGGCGGGGGGGGTGTCCCTGGGGAGGGGGTCGGGCCGCCCCCCGCTGACCCCCCTGCCCCCCCGCAGCGCCTACCTGTCGGAGCCGGCCCGGGCGGGGCTGGGGGCTCTGGCCTTCGCCACCCTGCTCTGGCTGGGGCTGGTGGTGACCATGCGGGGCGCCCTGCGGGCCCTGCTCTGCTACCACGGCTGGATGGACGAGGAGCACGGCCACACCTCGCTCGCCACCAAGTTCTGGCTGGTACGGGCCGGGGGGCCCCGGGGCCATGTGGGGGGCCGGTATGTCCCGGGGCTGGTGCCTTCTGGGGGACCCCATGGGCGGAGGCTTGTACGGGCCATGGGGGGTGGTACGTCCTGGGGCTCCGGGGGGTGGTGGGGGGGCTGGTCCCTTCCAGGTGGGCCCGTGGGGGGCTGGGGGGGCTATGGAGGGAGGCTGCGGTGGGCCACAGGGGGTGCCCCCATGCCACTGTGGCTCAGGCCTGGCATGTACCACGGTCTGGGGGGGGGGGGGCGGGGAGGTAGGATGGGGGCTGAAGCTGTCCAGGGGGGGCACGGACCGAGCTGGGGGGGTGCTGTGGGGCTGGAGGGGGAAGCCCGAGGAAGCCTGGGTGTGTCCTTGGCAGGCTGTGGGGGGAGGATGGGGCCGGTTGGGGGGCTCACTGCTTGGCCCCCCGTCTCCCCCCGCAGGCGCTGGTGAAGATCTTTGCCGGCCGTAGGCCCATGCTGTACAGCTACCAGGCGTCCCTGCCACGCCTGCCCGTGCCCCCCATCAGGGACACCGTGCAGCGGGTGAGCGACTGGGGGGGGCGGGTTCTGGGGGCCGGGGTGGGGAGAGAGTTTGGGGAAGGGGGGTCTGGGTCCTCGGAGGGGGGCTGGAGCTGGTGGCTGGGGGGAATCCTGGGGAGGAGGTCTGGGCCACCCTGGGGGCTGGAGGGAGGGGAAGTTGGGGGGGGGGTGTCCTGGAAGGAGGGGTTATGGGGGGGGTGTTGGGGAACTGGGGGGAGGGTCCTGGGAAGGGGGGTTTCTGAGTCCTGGGGACTGGAGTGGAGGGGGAGTCCGGGGGGGGCACATGGTGGGATGCTGGTGGGGGGCTAGGGGCAGTTGAGCTGACACGCCCCGGCTTGGGGGGGGTCTTCCCTCGGCTCTGCCCCCCCAGTACCTGGAGTCCGTGCGCCCCCTGCTGTCGGACCCGCGCTTCCAGCGTGCGGCCGCCCTGGCCCGGGACTTCGAGCGCTCGCTGGGCCCCCGTCTGCAGTGGTATCTGACCCTCAAGTCCTGGTGGGCCACCAACTACGTGAGTGAACCGGCCCCGGGGGGGGGGGGTGGTTACTGGGCTGGGGGGGCTCAGAAGGGGGGCGCTGTGCTGCACGGGGGTTGGGGGCTTGGTGGGGGGCGTCGTGCTGCAAGAGGAGAGCGGGGGGGGTGTCTGACTCCCTTTACCCTTGTCCCCCCCCCCCGCAGGTGAGCGACTGGTGGGAAGAATACGTTTACCTGCGGGGACGGGGCCCCCTGATGGTGAACAGCAACTACTATGCCATGGTAAGTCCTTTCTGGGGGGGCGTGTGGGGTCCCCCCTTCCTGTACCCCGCTCTGGGCCCATATGGGGGGGCATGTGGGGTCTCCCCTTCCTGTACCCTGCTCTAGGCCCATATGGGGGGCAGATGGGGGTCCCCCCACCCTGTACCCCGCTCTGGGCCCATATGGGGGGCATGTGGGGTCCCCCCGCCCTGTACCCGGCTCTGGGCCCATATGGGGGCAGATGGGGGTCCCCCATGTATCGCTCAGTCCCTAACCCCCTTCTCCCCCCCCCACCCCCAGGATTTCCTGTACGTCACCCCGACCCCCATGCAGGCAGCCCGGGCGGGGAACGTGGTCCATGCCCTTCTCCTCTATCGCCGTCTGCTGAACCGGGAGGAGATCAAACCGGTGAGGGGGGGGGGGTCAGGGGGGGCATCTGGTTGGGGGGGCAGAGGGGGGCGGGGTCTCGGCAGGGAGGGAGCCTCAGCAGGGGGTTGTGCCGTGAAGGGGCTGGGGTGTCTAGGGGACAGGGACGGGACGCCCCTCGGCATGGGGCTGCATTATGGGGGGGCAGGGGGCTGGCATGTCTCTGGGGTGATTGACTCCCCCCGCCCTCCCCAGCTGATGATCCAGGGCACCCTGCCCATGTGCTCTGCGCAGTACGAACGCATGTTCAACACCACCCGTGTCCCTGGAGTGGAGGCAGGTAGGACCCTCTCTGCCCCCCACCCGGTGAGGGGGGGATCACCTCCCACTGAACCCCTGGGACGAAAACTTTGCCCCAGACTAAATACCCCAAAGATAGCAAGTACACCCCCCCTTACAGCTGGGGGTGCTTGGTCTGGGGTGACCCCCAGAGCCCCAGAGAGAGGTGGGGGGGCTCAAAGTGGGGTGACCCCCAGGGTTGGGCAGAGGAGACCCCGTGGGAGGGGGCTCGGGGTGGGGGGCCCAGTGAGCGGGCTCTGAGTGGGGTGACCCCCAGAGAGGGGCTGAGGGGACCCACTGAGGGGGCTCCGAGTGGGCTGACCCCCAGAGAGGGGCTGAAGGGACCCACTGAGGGGGCTCCGAGTGGGCTGACCCCCAGAGAGGGGCTGAAGGGACCCAGTGGGAGGGGGCTCAGAGTGGGGGTGGGGGCCCACAGGAGGGGAGGGGTTGGTGCCAGGTGTTTGGCTTGGCAGGGGGACGTCCAAGGGGCGCCCCCCCACCCCCCTGCTCCCCCCCAGATTTGCTGCAGCATCGGCAGGACAGCCGGCACGTGGCTGTCTTCCACGCCGGCCGGTTCTTCCGTGTGGGGCTGTACCACGGGGGGCGGCTGCTGGGCCCCCGCGAGCTGCAGGCCCAGTTCCAGCGGATCCTCGACGACCCCACGCCCCCGCGCCCGGGGGAGGAGACCCTGGCCGCCCTGACCGCCGGGCCCCGGTGAGAGCGGGGGGCAGGACGGGACCTAGGGGGATGGGGAACTGGGGAGGGGGGACAATGGGCGGGGGTGGGAACTGGGGGGGGAGGGGGCAGTGGGTGGGACAGGACCTAGGGGGATGGGAACCGGGGGTGGCAGGGCGGGACGGGACCTAGGGGGATGAGAACCGCGGGGGGGGGAGCAGTGGGCGGGACGAGAGTTAGGGGGATGAGAACCGTGGGGGGGGGGAGGAATGGGCGGGACGGGACCTAGGGGGATGAGAACTGCGGGGGGGGGAGCAGTGGGCGGGATGGGAAGCGGGGGGGAGCAGTGGGTGGGACGCGAGTTAGGGGGATGAGAACCGGGGGGGGGGAGCAGTGGGCGGGATGGGACCTAGGGGGATGAGAACCGGGGGGGGAGCAGTGGGCGGGATGGGAGTTAGGGGGATTGGAAGCGAGGGGGGGAGGAGTGGGCGGGGCGGGACCTAGGGGGATGGGAACTGCGGGGGGGAGCAGTGGGCGGGACGGGAGTTAGGGGGATGAGAACCGCGGGGGGGGAGCAGTGGGCGGGATGGGACCTAGGGGGATGAGAACCGCGGGGGGGGAGCAATGGGCGGGACGGGAGTTAGGGGGATTGGAAGCGAGGGGGGGGAGGAGTGGGCGGGACGGGACCTAGGGGGATGGGAACCGCGGGGGGGAGCAGTGGGCGGGACGGGAGTTAGGGGGATGAGAACCGGGGGGGGGGGGAGCAGTGGGCAGGACGGGACCTAGGGGGATGGGAACCGCGGGGGGGGGGGGAGGGAATGGGCGGGATGGGAGTTAGGGGGATGGGAGCAGTGGGGGGGGGAGTTAGGGGGTGGGGGGGGGGGGGGAGCAGTGGGCAGGACGGGACCTAGGGGGATGGGAACCGCGGGGGGGAGGAATGGGCGGGATGGGAGTTAGGGGGATGGGAAGCGGGGGGGGGGGGTTGAGGGACTGGAGACACGTGTGTGGGGGGACGCAGGAGCCAGGTGCTGGGGGAAGGGTGATTGGGAGCTGGGGGGGGAAGGGGGATATGGGCACCCAGTGGGGCAGGGGAGGGGGGAGGAGGTGCTGACCCCCCCCGTACCCCCCCGCAGGGAGCCGTGGGCCCGAGCCCGCCGGTCGTACTTCGGGTCGGGCCGGAACCAGGAGTCGCTCCGGGCGGTGGAGCAAGCTGCCTTTTTCCTCACGCTGGACACCACCGAGCAGGGGCTGCTGGGCCCCGAGCCGGGCCGGGCGCTGGACCAGTACGCCAAGGCCCTGCTGCACGGGCAATGCCACGACAGGTGGGGGACCCCGGCCCCCCGAAGACCCCCCTGAGCCCCCAGCACCCCCCTGACCCGCTCCCTGACCCCCCAACTTCCCCCCGACCCGCTATGCCAAGGCCCTGCTGCACGGGCAATGCCACGACAGGTGGGGGACCCCGGCCCCCCGAAGGCCCCCCTGAGCCCCCAGCACCCCCCTGACCCGCTCCCTGACCCCCCAACTCCCCCCCGACCCGCTACGCCGAGGCCCTGCTGCACGGGCAATGCCACGACAGGTGGGGGACCCCGGCCCCCCCGACTCCCCCCAACTCCCTCCCTGAGCCCCCCAACTCTTCCCCCGGACCCGTGATGCGAAGGCCTTGCTGCGTCTGACTGGCCCCCCAACTCTCCCCTACTCGCTCCCCCTGATGACCCCCCTCCATCCTGCCAGCCTCCTCCCTGGCAGCTCCCGTGAGATTCTCCCCTCCCCAGGCCCACCCTGCAGCGCCCCTACCCTTTCCCCCGCCCCCCTCCTTCCTTGGGCCCCGGCCACAGGCCCCCTCTCACCGTGCGGCTGCCCCCTTGCAGGTGGTTCGACAAATCCTTCACCGTGATCATCTTCCGCAACGGCAAGATAGGGCTGAACGCGGAGCACTCCTGGGCCGACGCCCCCATCATGGGCCACCTCTGGGAGGTACGCCCGGACGCCTGGGTTCCTTCTCCCAGAGCGGGGGGGGGGGGGACCTGGGAGCCCGGACGCCTGGGTTCCCTCCCTGCTCCAAGGATGGGGGCGGGGGGGCTGGGAGCCCGGACGCCTGGGTTCTGAGCTGCCTGTGTCTCCCCCGTCCCCCACAGTACACGCTGGCCACGGACATCTTCCAGCTGGGTTACAGCGCGGATGGTCACTGCAAGGGGGAGCTGGACCCCGACATCCCCCCGCCCCAGAAGCTGCAGTGGGAGATCCCTGGGGAGGTGAGCCGGGGGTGGGGCCTGGGCAGGGGAGGGGCTGAGGGTGGGGTGGGGTGTGGGGGGCTGGTCCCAACAGGGGGATGGAGCCAAAGGAAGGTGGGGGCGGGGCCTGAGGTGGGGTGGAGCCAAGGAAAGGTGGGGGCGGGGCCTGAGGTGGGGTGGAGCCAAGGGAAGGTGGGGGCGGGGCCTGGCACGAGGCAGAGGGGGGAGGTTTGGGGGCAGGGCAGGTCTGTGGTCTGACCCCCCCCCCCCCGCCCCCTCCCAGTGCCAGCGGGTGATCCAGGACTCCCTGCGGGTGGCTCAGGCCCTGGCCGACGACGTCGATTTCCACACGTTCGCCTTCAAGGACTTCGGCAAGGGGCTGATCAAGAAATGCCGCACCAGCCCCGACAGCTTCATCCAGCTCGCCCTGCAGCTGGCGCACTTCCGGGTACGGCCCCGCCCCACGGCCAGCCCCACGGCCTGCCCCACAGCCCCGACAGCTTCATCCAGCTCGCCCTGCAGCTGGCGCACTTCCGGGTACGGCCCCGCCAGCCCCACGGCCTGCCCCAGCCCCGACAGCTTCATCCAGCTCGCCCTGCAGCTGGCGCACTTCCGGGTACGGCCCCGCCCCACGGCCAGCCCCACGGCCTGCCCCAGCCCCGACAGCTTCATCCAGCTCGCCCTGCCGCTGGCGCCCTTCGGGGTACGGCCCCGCCCCACGGCCAGCCCCACGCCCAGCCCCGACAGCTTCATCTCAGCTCACCCTGCCACTGGCGCCGCCCCCAGCCCGAACTTCATAGCACCCTGAGGGTACGGCCCCGCCCCACGGCCAGCCCCACGGCCTGCCCCAGCCCCGACAGCTTCATCCAGCTCGCCCTGCCGCTGGCGCCCTTCGGGGTACGGCCCCGCCCCACGGCCAGCCCCACGGCCTGCCCCAGCCCCGACAGCTTCATCCAGCTCGCCCTGCCGCTGGCGCCCTTCGGGGTACGGCCCCGCCCCACGGCCAGCCCCACGGCCGGCCCCACGGCCTGCCCCAGCCCCGACAGCTTCATCCAGCTCGCCCTGCCGCTGGCACCCTTTGGGGTACTGCCACGCCCCACGGCCAGCCCCACAGTTGGCCCCGCCCTATAACCTGCCCCAGAGCCATCCCTGACAGCTTCATCCAGCTCACCCTCCAGCTGGCGCACTACCAGGTACAGCCCCAGCCCCACGGCCTGACCTGCCCCCCACCCCAGCGGGGCCACGTCCCGGCGCCGGGCGAGGGGGCCCCGTCTAAGCCTCCCCCTTCCCCGCAGGACAAAGGGAAGTTCTGCCTGACCTACGAGGCCGCCATGACGCGGCTCTTCCGCGAGGGGCGCACGGAGACCGTCCGCTCCTGCTCCATCGAGTCCTGCAACTTCGTCCGCGCCATGATGGATGCTGCCCAGAGCGTGAGTCGGGGCCGGGGCAGGGGAGCTGGGGCCTCCCACATCAGGGGACCGGCCCGCAAAAGCGGGACGGAGGCTGTGGGGAGGGGTGAAGGGGGTCTGGATGAGCTTCCCCTGTCTGGATGAGCTGGGGCCCCACTGCCCCGAGCCAACTTCCGGGGGGTTCCCGCCGGCGGGAGACGCGGGTGTTGGAGCAGGGCGTCTCTCTGGGCCGCCGTCCCGTTTGTTGGTGGCCTCCAGGGCCCGCCAACGCCGCGGGGGCAGAACCGCCCACACTTCCTTCCCCGGCACGTCCCCGGGCCTCTGCCCGGCCAGCGCTTTGCCCCCAAAGTCCTCGGCTTGCCCCCCAGCCTTGTGCCGGCTGCCTTGGTCCCTCTCCTCTCACTCCCATGTCCGTCCGTCCCCCCCAGACCTCCCAGCGCCTGGCCCTGTTCCGTGTGGCAGCCACCAAGCACCAGACCCTGTACCGCCGGGCCATGATGGGCGCGGGCATCGACCGACACCTCTTTTGCCTCTACGTGGTCTCCAAGTACCTGGGTGTGGACTCCCCTTTCCTCAGGGAGGTACGTGGGGAGAGGGGGCAGGGCTTGGGGGGCACGGGGGTGGGGCTTGAAGAGGGGCCAGGGTAATTTCCAGGAGGGGGCTGTCTCGGGGCAGAACTCGGAGACCAAGGAGGTGGGGCAATCTCAGGGAGGGGCGGGGCTTGGGGACCAAGGAGGTGGGGCTTGGGGGACCAGGGAGGCGGAGCTTGGGAGTGGTGGATCTTGCGTGGGGGAGGGCTTTGGGGGCAGGGCAATTGCGGGCGGGGTGGGGGGAAGGGGATCAGGGCTGGGCCCCCCTGACCCTCCGCGCCCCCGTCCCCGGCCTTGCCTGGCAGGTGCTGTCGGAGCCATGGGGCCTCTCCACCAGTCAGACCCCCATCCAGCAGTTCGAGCTCTTCGACCTCAAGAAACATCCTGATTACATCTCCTGTGGGGGCGGCTTCGGGCCGGTGAGTGCCGGACGCCTGGGTTCTATCCCGGCTCAGGGAAGGGGAGTGGGGGCGGCTTCGGGCCGGTGAGTGCCGGACGCCTGGGTTCTATCCCGGCTCAGGGAAGGGGAGTGGTGGGCTACAGGTTGGAGCAGGGGGCCCGGGAGCCAGGACTCCTGGGTTCTCTCCTGGCTCTGGGTGGGGAGTGGGGTCTAGTGGTTGGGGCCGGGGGGCCTGGGACCCAGGACTCCTGGGTTCTTTGCCCCCCCAGGTGGACGATAACGGCTATGGGGTGTCGTACATCATCATTGGCGAAGACCTGATCACATTCCACGTCTCCTGCAAGTTCTCCAGCCCCGAGACGGTGAGTGGAGCCTGCCCCCCTCCCTCCCTAACCCCCCCCATGGCAATAACCTCGCCCCTCCTCCCCCCAGCTAACCGGTCCTGTCTTCCCCACCAGGACGCTCACCGCTTCGGGGCCAACATCCGGACGGCTCTGCTCGACCTCCGGGCTCTCTTCAACCTGCCCACCAAGTAGCCTGAAGATGCGCTGCGGGGGGGGGGAATGGCTGGTTTTCCCCCCTGCCAATAAAGCAATGGGGCATGGAGACCCTGCTAGGGCATGGCTGTGTTTGTATTCAGAAACCCCCCACTAGTGCGTCTGATGGTGGGAGGGAGTGCAGGAGTGGGCGGCTGGGGTGACTGCCGGGGGCAGGATTTGGCCCGGGGGGTGTTTCCCCGTCCTGGTGCTGGCTGGTACAGTTGTGTGGGGGTGCTGCTCGGGATGGGTGCAAAGCCCCCAGCTCCTGCTGGCCCCCCAGCTGAGACACTGATTGACACTTCACCTATCCTATGGGCCCCCAGGAAATGGGGGGAGACTTTGCCATACTCACCCCCCCCAATAAAACAAAATTGGGGTTTTCAGCTAAGGCTGCAGCCATTGAGGGGGTGTCTGTGGTAGGGCCCCCCCAGTTCTTGGGGCAGCTTCGTACTTGTTTGCTTTTGTGTTGTTTGTGAAGGGGGACTCTGAGGGGGGCAGGGCCCACCCGGGGGCTGAGACTGGAGTCGCTGGCTGCAAATGCGGACAGGCAATAAAGATCCAACAACAACAAATGTGAGAGACCTGGGGAGGGGGACATCTAATGATCCCCCCCCACCATGACGGAGGAATCTGCCCTAGAGCAGCATCAATACCCTACAGCAGAGCCCTGGGTTGATGCCCCCCCCGCCCCCGAAGACCCACACATGCACACAGGGCCGGAGACGCAGGCCCAGGGCCAGGGCAGGCGCTTTATTGGTGGCTGCGGTGGGAGTCAGCGCTGCTGGGGTGGAGGCGGCGCCGGAGGCTGGGCCCCCCCGTCCTGGGCCAGCTGGGCCTGCAGGGAGCTGAGCCGGGCATGGAGGGGGTCCAGGCCGGGGGGCTTCTCCCTGCAGGGGGCAGAAGGAGACAGCATTTGACAAGGGGTCGCTCCTGTGTAGGAGGGAAGCTCCCTCCCGGTTCAGGTAAACTGAGTCAAAGTGGAGGACTGAAGGGTCGGTTAGCAGAAGAGTCACGCAGGGAACAAACCGGCAGAGGAAACACAAGAGAAATGCAAACTGATGCCCGCTGGAAAACAGAATCCCGCCCAGCCGTGCAAAACCCCGGGGGCTGCATGAGCTGCTCCCGCTCAAGGCGCATCAGGGCCAAAAAAGCCAACCGAGCCCAGGGGTGGAGAATCTGACTCGGGCAGTATTATTCACCCCGTCACTGCACACAAGAAACCAGGGCCCCCCCCCAGTGCAAGTGCCCGGTGGCAGGTTTAAAACAAACAGGTGGAGAGGTATTTCTTCACCCAACACGTCCCTATTAACCTAGGGAACTCCCTGCCAGGGGATGTTGAGGCCAAAACGATAACTAGGTTCAGGAAAGAATGAGAGCACGAGGGTGGGTCTGTCAATGGCTATTAGCCAGGATGGGCAGGGACGCAGCCCCATGCTCTGAGGTCCCCAAACCTCGGGAGCTGGGCCCGGCTGCCGGGACTAATTGCGTTGGGGCCTGTTGGCAAACAGGACGCTGAGCAAGATGGATCATTGGTCTGACCTGGCTTTCCTCTCCCTCCGGCTTTTCCTCCCTCAGCTGCTGGTACCTGGCTTTCTTCTCCCCTGCCCCCCAACTCTACCAGTACCCCTCAATCCTGACCCACAGCCCCTTGCTCTCCCAGCCCTGGGGTCACCCCATACATACAGAGGTGAGAGTGGCAGAGTGACCCCGGTTGCTCCATGGCCCGGGGAGCTCCTGTGGCCCTAGATTCCAGTGTCGGGTAGTTCCACTGGCCCTTCTGCCCCAGTGCGGGGAGAGGGGTTTGCGCATTACTCACTGGGGGCTGAGCCGGACCCGCTCCACATAGGTCTTGGCTCTCAGGGCTTCGTCCTGTGCCAGGCGCAAGTTGGAGCTCAGGGTCTCCGCTCGTGCGTGTGTGTCCAAGGCGGCCTGCTCCAGCTCCTACCCCGGGGGTGTGGGGGAAAGAGACCTCGTTACGTTGGGGAGAATGGAGGCCAGGGGGGGAGCAGCGTGAGGGCATTGGGAGGCCCCCAGTGTGGGACAGGGGAACTGGGTGGAGCAGGGGGGGCCTGGCTGGAGGACCCAGCCTGCGAGGGGTCTCGCAGCAGGGTGCCCCTCTCCTGTCATGGACTACTTAAGTGGGAGCTTGGGGCCGTGAGAGACACCCCGGAGCCCCACATCCTCCTACCCCCAGCCCCATACCAGGATCTTGTTCTGCAGCCGCTGGCAGGCGGGGCAGGGGGCCGGGGGGAGCCCGCACTGCCTCAGTTCCTCCAGCAGGGGCGTCACCGCGCGCTCCACCATCTGCCCCAGGCTCTGGGCACTGATGCAGCCCTGGCTGGGGGACAGGGGGGAGACAGGTCACAGAAAGAGCACGGCGGTGCCCCTCGCTCCCGCCCCGCAGCCCCCCGCCAGCCCGGCCCTGCCGGTGCCCCTCACACCCGCCCCGCAGCCCCTCGCCAGCCCGGCCCTGCCGGTGCCCCTCACACCCGCCCCGCAGCCCCTCGCCAGCCCAGCCCTGCCGGTGCCCCTCACGCCAGCCCAGCCCTGCCTGTGCCCCGCTCCCGCCCCCGCAGCCCCCGCCAGCCCGGCCCTGCGTGCCCTCACGCCAGCCCAGCCCTGCCTGTGCCCCTCGCTCCCGCCCCGCAGCCCCCCGCCAGCCCGGCCCTGCCGGTGCCCCTCACACCCGCCCCGCAGCCCCCCGCCAGCCCGGCCCTGCCGGTGCCCCTCACGCCAGCCCAGCCCTGCCTGTGCCCCTCACACCCGCCCCGCAGCCCCCCGCCAGCCCGGCCCTGCCGGTGCCCCTCACGCCAGCCCAGCCCTGCCTGTGCCCCTCACACCCGCCCCGCAGCCCCCCGCCAGCCCGGCCCCGCCGGTGCCCCTCACACCCGCCCCGCAGGCCCCCACTCCATTCCCCCAGCTGCTGGTACCTGGCACAGCTGGTGGGGGGCCGGTCGGGCAGCTCCAGGGCCCTGAGGCTCCCCAGCTGACGGGCCACGTCCTCCAGCAGCGGCTTGACCTGCCGCAGCCCCTCGAGGTCGGCGCGGAGCTGGCTCAGGGCCTGGGCCGTGCAGTTCGCCCTGCCGGGAGGGGGATTGCCTGAGTCTGCCGCCAGCCTGAGCCCACTGTGGCCAGGGGGCGAGGGGAAGGGGAGGGTATGGAGCCGAGGGAGGTGCCCTGGGGTGTGGGAGGGGGCAAGGGGGGGTGCCCTGGGGGCAAGGAGGTGGGGGGGGCAGCGCCCTGTTGGGGGGGACCTACGTACGTGTTGAAGGCTTCGTCCAGCCGCCCCTGGAGCTCCTGGTGCCCCCGTTGCCACTGCACCCCAAGCCGCTCGATGGTCCGCAGCACGGCCCCCTGCCTGGGGAGAGGAGTCAGGGGGCTGGGCTGGCAGGGATCCCCCACAGCCGCCCGCTAGCCCCCTGCCTGGGGAGAGGGGTCGGGGGGCTGGGCTGGCAGGGATCCCCCACAGCCGCCCGCTAGCCCCCTGCCTGGGGAGAGGGGTCGGGGGGCTGGGATGGCAGGGCCCCTCCCATAGCCGCCCGCCAGCCCCCTGCCTGGGAGGGGAATATAAGGAGGCCCCCAGCCCACAATCTGGTCCCCTCGCCCAATTCCCCACCACCCCCCACCCTACATGACCCTGGCCTGACTCACCAGCCTCTCCCCCATAACCTAGGGCCCCTCCCACCCCCCATATGTGCCCCTCCCCTCACCTGGATTCCTCCAGCGCAGAGCCCGGCTCCCTGCCCTGCACCCCCTGCGGGCTGCCGATGGGATCTGTGGGGCTGCCCCCTGCCGGGTCCCGGCTGTGCTTGGAGATCTCCGTGGCCACGTGCTGCTCCGGTTCCTGCCCGCCGAGCTCCCCGCCCTGCGCCTGCTGCTGCAGCGTCCGCAGCTTCTCCTGGGGGCAGGGCTGTGAACTTCCCTGCAGCAGTGCCCCAGCTGGGGACCCCAGAGCTGCGAGCTTCCCCCAGCAGTGCCCCACCCGGAGACCTGGCCCTGTGAGCTTCCCACAGCCATGCACCCTCCAGGGACCCTGGTGCTGCAAGCTTCCCCGCAGCAGTGCCCGAGCTGGGGACCCTGGTGCTGTGAACTCCCCCCCAGCAGTGTCCCTAGCCGGGGACCCCGGCGCTGCAAGCTTCCCCCGAGCAGTGCCCCAGCCAGGCAACTGCAAGCTTCCCCCCCAGCAGTGCCGCAGCCAGGGACCCTGGCGCTGCAAGCTTCCCCCCAGCAGTGCCCCAGCCCGCTGTGAGCTTCCCCCCAGCAGTGCCCACTCCCCCATGCTCTCACCTCCAGCAGGACGGAGCTTTTCTTGAGCGCGTTGGTCTTGATCTCAGCGTCTTCCACCGACTGGCTGACCTTGCGGCAGCTCTCCTGCATTGCAGGGTGGGAAGGGGGTTAGCACCCTGGGGAGCTGGGTACCCCTCCCTGACGTGGGGCCCCTCTCACCTGGAGCTGGGTGCAGTACTCCTCCAGGTCCTCGGCCTCCCTCCGCCGGCGCTCCAGGTTGTCACACAGCATCGAGCATTCGCTCTGGTGGGGTGGGGGGCAGAGTGGGGGGTGAGCGGGGGGAGGTGTCATGGCGGGGGGGGAGGGTCAGCACTGGGGGGGGAGGGTCCATTACCCCCCTGGCAGGGACCCTCTGACTTGGGGAGGGGGCACAACCTGGGCCTGGAATAAGGGGCCCCGGCGGGGAGGGCAGAGACGGTGAGGGTGGGGACCCCGGGGCGGGTGGACAGATCCGGGGCAGAGGGGCACAGACCTGGAGGCTCTGCACCCGCCGGTTGACCCGGGACGCCCGCTCCTTGAGGCTGGTGACGGAGTCCTTGGCGCGCACCAGACCGCTGTTCACCATGTCCTGCAGGGGGAGACGGTGAGGAGGGGAGTCGGGGGGGGAGACCTGGCACAGACCCCCCCAACCTGGGACCCCCGGCACAGAATTCCCCCCCTCCGACCGACCTGGGACCCAAGGAGCAAATTCTGCCATCCCCTGTATAGGGCAGGGTCGGGGACGGGGGGTGTCCTGCCAGGGTAGGTCCCTATGGGGGTGGGAGAGTTCCCAGGTAGGAGGGGGATCCATGTAGAGGTCAGTGTTAATTAGAAGGGAGGTGGAAGGGCCTGAGGGGAGGGGTTTCCTGATGGGGGAGGTCTTGGGGGGCTCTTTGCACATGGGGGGGGTCAGTGTCCCCAGGCAGGGTTGGGGGGTCTCACCAACGGGGTGGGGGGGTTGGTGCCCCAGGAAGGGTCCCCGTGAAGTGGGGATGGGGGGTCTCACCAGCGGGGTGGGGAGTTGGCGTCCCCAGGTGGGTCCCTAGGGGGTAGGGGTCTCACCAGCGGGGTGCAGGGGGGGTGTCTTTGCACATGGAGGGGTCAGTGTCCCCAGGCAGGGTTGGGGGGTCTCACCAATGGGGTGGGGAGGTTGGTGCCCCAGGAAGGGTCCCCATGAAGTGGGGATGGGGGCCTCACCAGCGGGGTGGGGAGTTGGGGTCCCCAGGCGGGTCCCTGGGGGGTGGGGGTCTCACCAGTGGGGTAGGGGGTCGGTATCCCCAGGCAGGTCTCTGAGGGGTGGGGGTCTCACCAGCGGGGTGCAGGGGGGTCGGTGTCCCCAGGCAGGTCCCCAGCAGGGTGGGGAGGGGTCTCACCAGTGGGGTGGAGGGGTCGGTGTCGTCCTCAGACCAGGCGGGGTCCCCGGAGGGCAGGGGGGGGCTGAGGGGGGCGGCCCCCCGCCCGGCCCCGTCGTCCGTGGACTCGGAGTCGTCGCCCGTCAGGTTCAGCAGCGAGACGTTGGTGCAGGCTGAGGAGCGCTTTAAGTTCAGGCGGCCGGGGGGGGCCTCGCTGGCCGGGGGGGGGCTCCACCCTGTGGGGTGGGGGGCAGAGGTCAGCCACACGGGCCCCTGAGCCCCCTTCTGCTCCCCCCAGCCAGTGCCACCCCCCCTCCACCCCCGGCTTCAGCCCCCCCCCAGCCTGACCCATGGAAGGACACGGCTTTCTTCTTCCTGGGGAAGGCCTTGGGGCTGGCTTTGCCCAGCAGGTCCCGGGTGCTCTGGGCTCGGGTCTCCGCCCCAGAGGGGGGGTCTCCAGCTTCGTTGATTTCCTTCGACTGCCAGATGGTTTTCACGACCACGTTGGCCATGGTCCGAACCAGGCCGGGCCCCCGGGGGCTCCACCGGCGAGGGCCGGACCCTCGTGCCAGGGGCAGGCTGCTGGTGCCAGGGGGGGTTCACTCGAGCCAGGGGCTGGAGCTCGGTACCGGCCCCTCGTGCGAAGGGCTCTCGCCGCGACTCCTCCCGGCCGCTCCCTGTGACCTCACAAGTGCCGCGTGACATCGGCCCCCGCCCCCGCCAGCAGAGCTCTATGAGGTCACCAGGGCTCTTCAAGCGGAAGGGGCTGGTGTGTGTGTCATAGAGCCCATACCGCTGCGTGGGAAGAGCTGCTTCCTGGCGGCCCGAAGCAGGGGGAGGGGTGGGGGATTGTTGCTGCCCAAGGGCCTGATCCCACAGTCAGTAGCGGTGGGGCCGAGGTCAGAGGGGAAATAGAACCCAGGAGTCCTGGCTCCCAGCACCCCCTGCGCTAACCGCTAGACCCCACTCCCCTCCCAGCACCAGGGAGAGAACCCAGGAGTCCGGTGTGTCTGCACTTGCAGGCTGGGCTTGCAGTTAGGGCTCCTGACTGGGCCTGGGCTGATCTGAGTCTGAGTCCCTGCTAGCTGGGCCTCAGTTTCCCTGTTTGCGGAATGCAGCATTGTGCAGCAGGGGGAGGCCAGGGAGGGAGCATGTGGGGCACTAGCATTGGAATAGCATTTGGGAGGCCCGGAGCCAGACACCCTCCTTCCCCCCGTGGTGTCACTCTTTCTCCAGGGTCAGGCCCATGGCTTCACCCACCCCTCAGGCTGGACTTCTGGGCCTGCAGACCCCTGGCTGCCCCCCGTGAGCTCCACCCAGTGAGTCCCACTGAGCCAGACCCCAAGGAAGCCTGGCACCATCGTGGGGAGCAACATGCCCTGCCACCAGCTGGCACTCGGGTGGGTTTAATCAGCCGACTGGACCCAGTGCATGAAAGCCTTGGTCAGGCCAGAGAACAGACAGAATTGGCTGTGACGAAGCAGGACTGTTCTTAATGTTTCATCTGAATAGTGTGGGGGTGCCTCAGTTTCCCCTATGCAGTTCTTAAGTAGCTAGGGGGTGGGATAAGGGTGTATGATCATTGCAGAGCCCTAGAGTGCAGGGGTCTGGAAACAGAGAATGGCCGACACCCTGTTTCCTGACAACTGGTGGGAGCGGTGGGATGTACTGCATCCTGTGGACGGCGCTTCCTGCAGTAAGTGACTGGGGAGCAGTAAAACGAAGGGGGATTGATGAGGACCAGGAGTGCTAAAGTCTCAGAGAGGAGCGGTTTCGGGGGGCGGTTAACCCCTGGGAGTGTGTGACCAGCAAGAAGGACTGTGCAGTAATGGGGTCCCCCTGCAGACTGCGGTGAGCAGTCTCAGGGGCGGAGGAGCCTGCGGCTTGGCCCTGGGAGAGAGAAGGACTTTTGCAGTAACAGGGTTCCCCGGGGGATTGCAGCGAGCGGCCCCAGGGTCGGAGGAGTCTGCGGCTCGAGGTGGTGACCTCGAGAAGGGCTGGCACATGAGGGGTTCTCACTGGAAACCGTGGGGAGCTGAGAGCACACAGGCCTGTGAGTCCACAGCAACTTGGGAAGAGCGGAGTGACGGCCTGTCACCGTCTCCTTAAGAAGGACATTGTAACCCTGTGCAGAAAGAGAGGGTTGAGCATTGGAAAGTTCACCAAGGCACAGTTCATCCTGCAGTTGGAGGAGGATGACTGCGCTAAGGAACAGATTCCTGACCCCAAACGGGGCTATAGCAGGATCTGGGAGCAGCTGGAGTGGGAGCCAGTGTCATGGAGTCCCCAGGCGATGCTCTGGATCTGCTCCCCATGAAGCCAGTCAGGACTCTGGGGCAGTCGCCTTTCTGTGAGCAGCCTGTCTGCAGGACACACAGCTCACACAGCTTCCACCTTCCTGGGTCTGACCTCAGAGCATTCAGCATCCTCTGCCCCTCCGTGCGCTTCCCACAGCGAGTCCGCTCAGGCGGGGCTCCTGGGGAAGCCAGAGGGTCCTGCCCCCCAACTCCGCAGTCAGACGTGACTCTCAGCCAGCCAGTAAAACAGAAGGTTTATTAGACGACAGGAACATGGTCTAAACCAGAGCTTGCAGGTGCAGAGAACAGGACCCCTCAGCTGGGTCCATTTTGGGGGGCAGTGAGCCAGACAACCACGTCTGCACTTCACTCCATGTCCCAGCCAGCCCCAAACTGAAACTCCCTCCAGCCCCTCCTCCTCTGGGCTTTGTTCCTTTCCCGGGCCAGGAGGTCACCTGATTCCTTTGTTCTCCAACCCTTCAGCTCTCACCTTGCAGGGGGGGAAGGGCCCAGGCCATCAGTTGCCAGGAAACAGGGTGTCGGCCATTCTCTGTGTCCAGACTCCTGCACACACCTGCCCTCTAGGGCTCTGCAATGATCAGACACCCTTACTCCACCCCCTAGATACTTAAGAACTGCCTAGGGGAAACTGAGGCACCCCCACACTATTCAGAGGAAACATTAAGAACAGTCCCACTTCGTCACATCTCTCCCCCCTTCGAGATCGAACTGAGCGGGGTCACTTTAGCCGGTGACCTGGGGAAGTTCGAAGCCACCAACGTTCCCATGGATGCCCCAGCATCTCTCCCATTCCTTGGTAGGAGTTACACCAGGCCCTTCCAGTTTCACGCCCTCATGTGGGAAGGTTTATGCAGCCCATGCCCTTTGGCCACCCCAAGAATGTCTCCCCATTGACCATCACCTTCTGCTCCCACTGGAGGTCCGGGGGGCCTGGCCCCAGGAAACTCCACACAGACATATAGGTTGGGGTCAGGAGTGGGAGCCTGTCCACATCCCCAACCATCTGGCTGACGGAGTCTATGGCCTTGGGACCCAGCAAGGGAGCTAGACACTGGGGCTTTTCCGCAGGGTCCCCTTGGTTCAAATCGCCAGCCTGCTCAAAGGCAGTGAGGTGGGCATCCACACCCCCCCCTCCTTAACCAGGGGCAGCAATTTAGTCTCGAGGTTCCCTGCGGAACTGGCACCCCGGGGTCTATCCCCACTCACCCCGGGGAGGTCCCCTAGGCCTCTCCGCTCCCCCACCGCCAGTTCATGCTGCTGCTGCTTCTGCAGCTCTTTCTCGGGCTCTCGCTGTCTCCCAGGGTCCTCTTGCTCTCTCAGACTCAGCTCCAATCCCGTCTGTCTCGACATCGTGAAGACCCTCGTCTGGTCGGGGACAGGAGTCTTGGCGATGCCTGGCTCCCGCTTCAGCTGCTCCCAGATCCTGCTATAGCCCCAGTTGGGGTCAGGAATCTGTTCCTTAGAGCGGTCATCCTCCTCCAGCTGCACGATTAACTCTGCTTTGGTGAACTTTCCAACGCTCAACCCTCTCTTTTTGCACAGGGTTACAATGTCCTTCTTAAGGAGACGGTGACAGGCCATCACTCCGCTCCTCCCAAGTTGTTGTGGACTCACAGGCCCATGTGTTCTCAGCTCCCCACGGTTTCCAGGGAGAACCCCTAGTGTGCCAGCCCTTCTCGAGGTCACCACCTCTTTGCCAGGGTCGAGCTGCAGACTCCTCCGCCCCTTGGACTGCTCGCTGCAATCCCCAGGGGAACCCTGTTACTGCACAGTCCTTCTCGCTGGTCACACACTCCCAGGGGTTAACCGCCCCCCGAAACCGCTCCTCTCTGAGCCATCAGCAGGCCTGGTCCTCGGCAATCCCCCTTCGTGTTACTGCTCCCCAGTCACTTACTGCAGGAAGCACCATCCACGGGGTGTAGTACATCCCACCGCTGCCACCAGTTGTCACGGAGTCCCTGGGCGATGCTCTGGAACTGCTCCCCATGAAGCCAGTCAGGACTCTGGGGCAGTCGCCTTTCTGTGAGCAGCCTGTCTTCCGGACACGCAGCTCACTCAGCTTCCACCTTCCTGGGTCTGACCTCGGAGCATTCAGCATCCTCTGCCCCTCCGTGCGCTTCCCACAGCGAGTCCGCTCAGGCGGGGCTCCTGGGGAAGCCAGAGAGTCCTGCCACCCCAACTTCGCAGTCAGACGTGACTCTCAGGTAGCCAGTAAAACAGAAGGTTTATTAGACGACAGGAACATGGTCTAAACCAGAGCTTGCAGGTGCAGAGAACAGGACCCCTCAGCTGGGTCCATTTTGGGGGGCAGTGAGCCAGACAACCACGTCTGCACTTCACTCCATGTCCCAGCCAGCCCCAAACTGAAACTCCCTCCAGCCCCTCCTCCTCTGGGCTTTGTTCCTTTCCCGGGCCAGGAGGTCACCTGATTCCTTTGTTCTCCAACCCTTCAGCTCTCACCTTGCAGGGGGGGAAGGGCCCAGGCCATCAGTTGCCAGGAAACAGGGTGTCGGCCATTCTCTGTGTCCAGACTCCTGCACACACCTGCCCTCTAGGGCTCTGCAATGATCATACACCCTTACTCCACCCCCTAGATACTTAAGAACTGCCTAGGGGAAACTGAGGCACCCCCACACTATTCAGAGGAAACATTAAGAACAGTCCCACTTCCTCACAGAGTCTCCTTTCCGTGAGCAGCCTGTCTGCAGGACACACAGCTCCCCCGGCTCCACCTTCCTGGGTCTGACCTCGGAGCATTCAGCCTCCTCTGCCCCTCCGTGCGCTTCCCCCAGCGAGTCCGCCCAGGCGGGGTCTTGGGGAAGCCAGAGGGTCCTGCCCCCCAACTCCGCAGTCAGACGGGACTCTCAGCCAGCCAGTAACACAGAAGGTTTATTAGATGACAGGAACATGGTCTAACACAGAGCTTGTAGGTGCAGAGAACCGGACCCCTCAGCTGGGTCCATTTTGGGGGGCAGTGAGCTAGACAACCATGTCTGCCCTTCACTCCACGTCCCAGCCAGCCCCAAACTGAAACTTCTTCCAGCCCCTCCTCCTCTGGGCTTTGTTCCTTTCCAGGGCCAGGAGGTCACCTGACTCCTTTGTTCTCCAACCCTTTAGCTCTCACCTTGCAGGGGGGAAGGGCCAGGCCATCAGTGGCCAGGAAACAGGGTGTCAGCCATTCTCTGTGTCCAGCC